ACAAATACACACACAGAAACACACACACACATACATCATACATGCATGTTAACATTTTTAAATTTGCAGCCACCCTCCTGTTTTATGGAGAGTGGCTTGCTTGGGATCCTGGTCGAGGATCACTCCAGCCTCTCTTCTGCCTCCATGCTGCTTACTGTGGCGGTGCCACTGCCTCCAGCCTCCTCCTCCCCTTATTCCTCCCACGCAGTGGGACAAGATGTAATTTCCTTCCTGCCGGCTGATATTACAGGAGCCAGAACAGCTCTTAAAGGGTCGCGGCACGTGATGGGGCCCTTGTTTAGTAAGTATTATTGGGTGGCCACAAATCATATATAACATTCTGGAAATCACACACACAATCTGACACATATTGTATGTTAGATTGTGTGATTTCCTGGATATCGGATATGCAAGTGTCAGTGAATTGCACTGAAGATGCGGGAGTCTCCTAGAACCTCCTGGAGACTTGGGATATCCGCAAGAGGTTATCCATTGAGACTGGAAGAAAGGCGATTTCACTTACAGCAAAGGAAATGGTTCTTTACAGTAAGAACAATATAGCTATGAGATTCTCTGCCTGAACAGGTTGTCTTATCAAATTCTATTTTAAAAAAGCTTGGATTTGTTTTTGCATAAGAAGAATATTCAAGGATATAATTGGTATGTATGGAAAAAGGTTGTTGATCCAAGGATAAATCTGAATACCATTATGAAGTCAAGGATTTCCCCTCCCTCCCCCGCCCCCCCCTTTTTGTGGCATAATTTGAAATGGTTACCATAGTTTTTTTTTTTTTTGCCTAAAATAATGGTTTTCAGGGTTTAACTTGATGACCTTTAGTCTTTTTTCAACCTCGACAACTATGTAACTACAGGCACTATAACCACATCAATTTTTAGTCAGTTCTCTCTCTACATTACCTTTTTTTACAGGATTATTCACTAAAGTGAGAATGCAAAATTGTTAAGACACCCCTAGTGTCTTTAAACGAAACCGCCGTTTAGGCGACCTTCCCCTGCTGCAATACAAATAATCCTCGTTCGCATAAGCTGTAGTGCACGAACCAAAATCAGGGGAAGCGGCAATCTCCCGACCGGTATCCGTGAACGGCTCCAACCTCCCGAACGGAACTCCACGAACTGCTGCTAGCCGCCGAACAATAACATCCACCAAGCAGCTCTCGGTTCCATCCAGCAGTCTCTAAGCGTAAAGAAGAAATCCCCCCAATAACGAGACAGAAGCTCCGCATTGAGGGTCAAACAGGATCTGGCTTTAATGTGGGCTACCTGCCCGTATTTATGCAGGTCTCCCACTTGGTGGACACTCCCCTAGGGGACCAAATGGGAGACTTAAATGACAGACAGATATGGGGACATTCCAGACACACAGTCACAGATTTTACCCACAATGCATTATGGTTCCCTCCCCTCTGCCCTGGAGATAATTACCAAGTAACTCAATTATCTCCAGGACAAAGCCAGTCGCCATTTTAAATATAAAATCATAAAAGACATAAAAATACATAACTTCACAAAAACCGAACATTTCCCATTCGCATCACATATCCCCAGATAGCCTGGATCTGAGTGCATATTATTAGCGAATAGCGCTCAGATCCCACACACATAGTTCAATCGCCATGGAGTCAAAGTTCTTACAGTCTTTCATGATACGAATGACTCCATGGGAAGGCTATCTGGGTTAAGTCCTTTCGTATGCTTCAAACCTCCCGAACGGCTGGTATTCGTATGCTTTCGTGGAGGCAGCCAGGCGTTCCGTTGGTTCAGCGGTGTTCGGCAGAAAAAGTATCCGTTTTTAGTTCCATGAAAATAGAGCCGAACACCGCTGGGCTTTCGCGTGGTTTAAAATGGCCGCTGCCTCGTGGTCGACATACGAACAACGACCACCCTGAATTTGTTTAATTGAGAAGTGTCTGCGGTTAACCACAACGTTCTAATTGGGATCAATAGGTTAACCAGCAGCACACTTCTCTCCTGGGTGGCCGTCCGTTCGGCATGTTTGTTCGGGAAAAGCAGTCATTCGTATGGCTGGGCTATAGAAAACAGCCATTTACACGAACAAGATAGAAACAGACGAATACACCTGCAATAACCAGACAGATGGTTCTGTCACAAAAATGAATTTAAAATTTAAGGTAAAAATGGCCGAACTGAAAAAATGATCTGTCCGCCGTACTTTCGTTTCGGCTACTCTGGCCTTACATTTGAAATTCACTTTGAGTTGTGACTTTAGTGAATAGCCCTGTGTGAATTGTAGTGAATTTAAAATCAGGGAGTCAGGAAACCTTCTGTATCGGCTGTTTCAGTAAATGTTGCAGGTGGTGTTTCAGATTGTTCCAATGCC